AATAGGACGTCTAAATATGAGCACAACAAAAGTGTCCAGCAGATGGCAGACAAGATTCTTCTTAAAGGGCTGTAGTTTTGAAATGGACTTTATGTTTTGAGGAATGTCATTCCCTGCTTTAGTATAAACATCGAAAAAAGACCTCTGGCCGTAACAGTTTTTAAAAGATGGTAAAATCAGTTGTCCTTTTGTAACAGATCTAGTTGAATGACCGCTTCCAGAATCTGATTTGGGCAACAATGCACAGAGAGTTCCATAATTGGCACCTTTACCTTGTGTAAACAACAATTTAAGTATTTAGCTCGGACTCAGTATAATCTACCTTAAAATAGCAATCTAACTAAAGAAGCCTTAACATTTTTCATGTCATAGTGGATGTTTTTGGAACAACATATAATTAACTTAAAAATATATACTTTTGAACTCTTTTGCATAGTAAGAATCAGGTGTTGAACAACATTCAGATGACTTGAAAAAATCGGAAAATACTTAAGACTTGAAATCATACAAAAAAAAACTTTAGATTTAATCAGATATAAAATACAACTAAAGATTGGATGCAGTATTTTGTTTTTGTTTTAACCAAACTATGTTTTACAGATTGTTATTTATCATTTTCTAAAGCACTAAAACTCAGTCACTGTAACGAGTAAATCTATTAAAAAAGGGGAAAAAAGCTCCATTTATTTTTGAGATGGCTATTCTCAGACATTTATATTTCTCAGAAATGAGAGAGCTCAGATGTTAGGATTTGATTTATTTTCCAAGAAGTAATTTTGAAATGCTCCTTATCCTCTTAGGCCGCAACAAAACATTTCTTTCAGTAGGCTATTTGCTGGGTTACTTTGCCGTCTTTATTCAAATAGTGTCAAGGTTGAGCTCCTATATCTGAACGAACAATGCTTGATGAGTCGATCTTTTCACAGTCTGTGAAATATTTTGATGGAGGTATTAGTATATTATTTCAGGCATGGCTTTACAAAAGTCAGTTAATTTTGTAAAAATGAGATTGKAAAAGCAATAACTTGAGAATCTCAAGTGAAAACTTAAATATTGGCATATTAATAAGACTAACTGGATGCATACAAGTACTTTCTCCGAGGAGCATAACATCATATGCCTGCCTGAATTTGATTACCAAGAAAATATGTTGGTAGATTATGAATATTTAATCAATTTGTGTTGATAATACTACGGGGGATACACTACAGTAGAAATAGAAAGTGTCAGATAGATGTGTGTGATGCTCATAAGCATCAGTAATGATGATTGTAATGTTTTGGATATTAACCTAAAGCACCTTGCTGGGAGGACTGTGACAAGTTTTTTAATGGAAAACTGGATTTGTCTTGGAGTTAAAATGAGTTCCAAACTCACATTTAGGTTTTTGACCTCTCCAAACATGTCATGTCTTTCTTTTAATTCATATTTCCGTCCTGCTCTGTCTGTTTCTACCTCTCTACCTCCCTTTCATTCTTCTCCTCGTTCAGCCCGAGCTTCTGTAACACCAATTATACTGTGTCAAATCCATGCATGTCACTTTCCAGATCCCTAATCATCCCTTCTGTCTTTCATCCACAAATCCTTTGTTCCTTTCTCCTCCTCCCGTTTCCTTCTCTGTAACCTTGCTTCTGTGGGACTCACCCGACCCCCACCCTTCGTCTGCTCCGTGGACACCCAGCTCATCCTCTTTGTCCTCTTTCCAATTAATTGTATCGCAGTACCTCACCATCTTCCTGTGACTCCTTTATTTCAATTTTATAGCCTTCCCTGAGACTATAGCAGCCCTCTAAGATGAGTTTGAGGTCCCTGCAATATCATTCCAGTGTTTCTGAAAAAGCCCATAGCACACTTTTTATGGAGGTTGCAGTGGTAGTTTTAAACTTGTGAAGATGTTTTTGTGTAAAAGTTATTCTTGTTTTCATTGTATACTGTTTGTTTTCGTATGATTCTGTAGTTTAGACCCTTTTTGTTATTTTAAACATATACAATGAGAGATAATACTGTATTTCAGAGCATGATTGATGCTTGATATGAAATTATATTTCTAGCACTGACAATTCAGTTTTCTAATTTCATTACATTTGTCCCACATGCTAGTCTGACACCAGAGATATAGATCAGGTATGGACAATTTACCGTATTTATTCATGTACAGTATAATACGATCTTGATTATAATACGATCATCATTTTTTGATCTTACAAAGCATAAAAATCTAATTATCAATAACTCGTGTATAATAATATCTCCCCCCCCCCACTTTATGGATGATTTTTAGGGTTAAATTTCTAGTATTGTACATGAATAAATACAGTAAATAGAAGTGGTCACAATTTTTTTGTTGACACTACCAGAGGGCCACATAGTACTACACACTTACCCAAATATAATAAAGCTGCCATTTTAATAAGGTTTGTGTTCATATATGTTTATTAAACCAACATACAATGCAGTAACTTAACATTTTAGCGAGCTGAGGTGCAACTGGATAAGAAGATGCCTTGAGTTCAGACTCCTGATTGGTTCTGGTAAAAAGTTGCTGTTGTTTAAGTACTTGTGACTTCAGTAAACATCTCATATTTAGCTTTGTGCAACTTGTAGTGGTGTCTTCTATTAAAATCCTTCATGACAGACAGCTTTAAGCAGACTAAACAAATAGGTTTGCCTTGAAATTCTGTGAACAGATAATCTAGCTCCCAAAAATATAAAAAATAATAAATAAAATTACATTAAAAAACAACAGATTGGCGGGCCGGATGGAAGTAACTGCTAGTTAGCTAGACTGCTAGTTGCCCATAGACAAAATAAGTACATATTCTGGTATATTTAAAATTGATTTATAAAAGTGTCATGCAGTACCATGGGTTTCTCCAGTTGTATGAAATGGACTCTAAAGGCATCTGTCTTGTTTTTCTGTTCTGTTCACATGTTCAAAACTATTTAGAGGATGCCTACGTGCACGCACCTAAAATAACTTGAGGTCACCTGTGCGCTCAGCCCATCTGTCTAGTTTCAGACTCTAGTCCAGCAGCTCAGTGATTTATCAGCACAAAACAAAAGAAAATAATTATAATAATTTCATTTTAAACATTAGATTCTGTTTATGTGTAGGCCTGTCACAATAAACAATAAATCAATTAATCACAAGATAAATTAAATTGAGGAAGATAAATTAAAATGACCCTGTGATCGACTTGCGACCTGTCCAGGGTGTACCCCGCCCGCCCTTCGCACTGTGACTGCCGGATATGGGCACCAGTGACCCACACAACCCTGAAACGGAAGAAYCGTGTACAGAAAATGGATGGATGGATGGAAATTAAAATGAAGACAATAGATTTAATTTTGCTTGATTTTATTTTTTTTCTCCCTCTTTTCTACTTTTTAGCATTGAAATGAACTCTGGTGTCAGGTATTTTCCAGGTGCATGGTCTCTAAACTCTGTAGCATGAAAGCCTATGAACAGGCCTTTAGCCAGAGGAGCGTCTTCGGTTTTCTGACGCCTTGGGATTCCCGACAGTGTTTTTTCATTTTACACTGTGTAAATTTTAATGTAAACTTCTGTATACAGGGGGGTTATAACATTAGATTAGTTTAAACTGGTCTCAAACAATATTATCGTTTATCGCAATAATTTCTGAGACAATTTATGGTCCAGTAAAAATTGTTATCGTGACAGGCCTGTTTATGTGTGCTTTCTTTAGAGATTTATCATTTATTTGCTGCATGGATTAGGGTTGGGCATAATCGTATCGTGTGCAATTAATCATCAGAAAAACATTAATCGATTATTTTTTGGCACTTGATGATTAATACGATTAATGCCACCAGGCAGAGTCCACTCGGTGCTCCTCTCTGCTTCAAATATGATGAACATTAAAAAAAAGGTTCTGTAATTTATTTATCTATCAATACAATTTAAATTTTGATGTATGGCATGAAGTCTGTAATTTTGACACAGTTTTGAACAGATTTTTTTATGAAGAGCAAATCTTTCCCACTAAATTGGTCATGTGACCAGGACCTGTGTGCCCAGGGACTCCAGGGGATTAATCGTCAAATTAATCGTTATCGGCTAAATACCACAATTAATCGTGATTAATTTCTTTGCCAATATTGCCCAACCCTAGCACGGATCCTACAGACCCTCACAATGTGGCTGCAAACTCAGTGATTTAAATCATTTGTTTTAACTGAAACATCGTTCTCTTTGTTTACCTTTTTTATATAAGCAGCTAAATAATTAAATAAACAGTAACCACTGAGAAATGGCTATTCTTTGTTGTTGTCAAGCAGTTTTTTTTTAATTCAAATAATAATAATTAATTGTTCTAAGTAAAAGTGAACAAAATGCCTACAATTTGGTAAAACACTCTTGCTTGTGTTTGTGTCCCAGGCAGAGGAGACTTATGTCAGAATGTGTATTTGTTGTGACTGTAGCCGCAGGGAGACAAGACCAAATTATGGAGAGGAAGCAGGAGAGAGGGTGACGGAAACAGGGGGAGGGGTTTGTTTATTTCTATAGCTCCTTTTTTTTAATGGCAACTGCGCCCCCTGAGTCCAGAGAAGAAAAACAAAGGTAAACGAGTGCCGAGAACAGGAGGGAGGAAGAGACGGGCGATCGAGAACAGCGGACGATGGGCAGCGGCCGAGACACTCGAGCCCAATGCGCCGATGGAGGGAGGGATGGACGGACCCGCGGACGGATAGAGGCAGAGCGCGTGCCGGCCCGCCGCTCGCCGCCCAGACAATGAACGTGCTGCGGTCACTGCCGGCAACGCATCGTCACAGCAACCGTAGCCAGAGGGGTGCGCGCTGAGTGAGAATGGCAGAGAAAGAGGAGGTTATAGACAGAGAGGAAGATGGTGTCTTCCCTCAGTAGATAGAGTGTGGCTCTTTCTGTGGGGGTTCTGTCTGCTGGATCATGTGTGTCTCTGTGTGGTTGATGTGTGTTAGTGGCCACTGGTCTGACACCATGATTTTCTGTCACCATCTAGGTGAATACAAGAAAGATGAGCTGCTGGAGGCGGCGAGGTGAGTACCAGACTCTGCATGTTCTTTGTTTTCATTTGGTTTCTTTTTTTCTATTTTTTTCCCGAACCTGCTTCCTACTTTGTGACACCCTTTACTACCTTGTTTTCTCTCCCTCGTTCACCTTTTATTGCCCCTCCTTTGTTTTCTGTTTTTGTAGCACTTTTACCCATGTGTTTAGTTTTTTTTTTTATCTTAATCTGTTTTTTTTTATCTTTTATTTCACGTCATTTCTTTTTTTGTCGCCTTATGTTTTAAATTATTATATATTTCCCTCCCCTGGCGTGAACACACACTCAGCTCCCACATTAGTCCGGTATTTCAGATCTTTGAGAGCTTTGTACTTGTGGGCCAGAGATACTTGCACATTATTATTTTTTATTTTTTTGGTTGCAGGCAGTTAATGTGGGCTGTGTTTTTCCTGCTTTTTGCATGTGGAAGTGGAACAGCTCTCTCTTTTTGGGAGTGTGTGTGGGTGGCTGAGCGCTTGATGCCTCAACAGACCCACCCCACACACACACACACACACACACACACACACACACACACACACACACAC